GATTCTGTACCACATTCAAGGCAGAACTCTGGACCGAACCAGGAAACAATTAAAATATTGCTTTAAACCATAATCTACTGAAAAAAGGTAGAGTTTATCCGGCTCAAAATATTTTTTTTTAAAAACAACTTAAATGTGAATTTATCTAAGATTTTAAAAATAGAACCTAATAAACAAAAAAACAAAAACTACGACAGAGTATTAGGGACAGGCTAGACATTTTTTTTCTTCTATTTCGAGAATGATGCTGTAACATTAAGAAAATGAAGTCGTAAACGTAATAATAAATAAATAAATTTATTCTCGTAATTTTTTGACTTTATTCTCGAAATATTACGACTTTTTTCTAATATTAACACTTTATTCTCGTAATTTTTCGACTATATTCTCATAATTTTTCGACTTTATTCTCATAATATTAAAACTTTATTCTTGTAATATTACTTTATTCTAGTAATATTACTTTATTCTCGTAATGTTACGACTTTATTCTCATAATATTAAAACTTTATTCTTGTAATATTACTTTATTCTAGTAATATTACTTTATTCTCGTAATATTACGACTTTATTCTCATAATATTAAAACTTTATTCTTGTAATATTACGACTTTATTCTCATAGTATTAACACTTTATTCTCGTAATTTTTCGACTATATTCTCATAATATTAAAACTTTATTCTCGTAATTTTACGTCTTTATTCTCGTAATTTTTTGACTTTATTCTTTTAATATAACGACTTTATTCTCGTAATGTTACGACTTTATTCTTGTAATATTAAAACTTTATTCTCGTAGTTTTTCGACTTTATTCTTGTAATATTACGACTTTATTCTCGTAATGTTACTTTATTCTCGTAATTTTACGACTTTATTTTTAGAAATAGAGGGAAAACAGTCTCTAGCCTGGCCCTAACACTAATTCATAAAAAATAAAATGTAAAAGAAGAAGAATTTTAAGATATAGAGCTGAGGAAATATTCTGGCTATTCTATGCTTGGCTTTCTATTTATTGATTTATTTTGAAATTCTATTTATTCAGTCCTGGGCGATCATTATGTTGGACTTTTATGGAGAGTAATAAAAGGACTTTATGTAAAAAACTTTTCCCATTAAACCGTTAGATGATGGGTTGACCCAGCAGAGGTCTTTAGCTGACCCCTCCCTCCACCTACCGCCTCTGGAGCATCGCTCTCTGCAGGTGAGTCCTCCTCCAGTTCCTCCTCCTCCTCAGCGGCATCGGGGCCCCTGGGCGCCGCTTCCTCTGTGCGGTCCTGGTCAGAGGAGAGCATCCTGCTTCTCTTTGCATGTCAGAGGGAAGTCAGAAGCTCATGCAGTCCGATCTGCTTGCTTCCCTGCAGGGATCCTCCTGTCTGCATGCCCTGTCCCAGCCTCCCTCAGTCCCCCATCATCAGGCTCTGATCCCGCAGACTGCTGCTGCTGCTGCTGCTGTGCAGAGGGGGGGTCCCTCTGTGCTCCTGGCTGGCGGGGCGGAGGGGGGCGGGGTTCCGCCGGGAGTTCACCGCAGCAGAGGCAGCACAGGTTCACCATGATGAAGCAGGATGCGGTCCAATGAGGAGGCGCACCAATCAGCAGGACAGGCTCTCCGAACCGGGTTGGTGCCAGAAACGAAACCATCCATGCTGCTCAGAAGAACTGACTTCCGGTTAAACTAACAAAAATATGGTTGCTACTTCAAAATAAAAGCTCACACACACTGAAAAAAAAATACTTTTTGGTCCTGTTAATATTACCTCGGTCTTATTTATTTATTTATTTATTTTTTTACAAATGGCCATGTAAGTGCCTTTACATCAGAATGGCATATTTTAATATTAATAATAAGATACAATTAATATTATAAGCATTCTGATGGCATTTTATTGAAAGGATTTTTATCAATAACATAATATTAATAGAATCAGAATCAGATCAGAATCAGAAATACTTTAATAATCCCAGAGGGAAATTACTTTTTTTACAC